GGTTACTGTATTTTATTTTCTGAAGGATAGGATGCACACCGTCTACAAAATTGAGAAGACTTAGCCTGCTGCAGCTACTCAGGGAGCGAGGAGCTCTCATGCTCATGTAGATATCCCTGAATCTCCCCGCTCTAGGTCTCATAGTGGAGGCAAGATGAAGAAGTTTGGCAAATGGTTGAAGGCAATCTTCAGAAAGTGCACCTATGCAGCCGACAGAGCGTATGAGACACAGCTTGAGCAACGTCAGCAGCATGGACATGACCTTCCACCACTTCCTCCTATTCCACCTCCTCCACAGTATGACCTTTCGAGTCTCTCCGACACAGATTCAGATGATGATGAGGAGCAGCAGGGATGAACAGTAGATTGGGATAAGACCCTGGAGGGGTACCGTTAGAGACAGGAGCCAAGGCGTTCCACTCGTTCCACTTGCTACATCGCCACCACTCACCGTCAGGGCCATGCACGCATTGACTCCAACGATGATAATTGTGATGGTGGTGCCAGGACTGCTGCAGGAGGTGATGATATTGATTGGACTAACATCCAGTGAGATGACGAGTAGGTGTTGATCTTTCTTCTTTTCCTCTCTTTTTGGTGCTTTATGCCAAAGGGGAGAAAATTAGAGGGGTCAACAACTTTTCGCAACAGCTGCGCTTCATGTCCTATTCGATGAGTGTTAGTCTTCACTAGGTGGAAAGTTTGAGAGTTGCTCAAAACTTTAAATTGTGAAATAATGCTACTATTTGGCTCTTTATTTATCGGATATGGACATGTATCATTGTGTGGATTAGAAGTCACCTTATTGTGCTAGGTTGCATATCCTTTTGTCTGAGCTAGCTGTGTGGTGCTTGACTCTGTCTTGCTCGTGCAGTCAGGTGCGGCTCTACCGCACAGCAACAAGCACATGTGTGCATAAACTGTCATTTGCATCATGTTTTTCATACCTGACACAGTATGCAGCACCCCACAGGAGCTTGGATGTAGGGGGAGCCCCATCATTTTTACTAAAATATGAATCTTGGCTTCTTATGCCAATTTGAGAATTCAATTCTCTATTCACATATTTAGGGGGAGACTCTACACCCATGGCTCGAAAAGTCTCAGTATTTATTTCATATCTTTTGTAAGCTCTAATTGGGTTGTCATCAATCACAAAAAGAGGAGATTGAAAGTGTAATCAAGCCTTAATTGTGGGTTTTGGTGATAATGACCTCATAATTAGAGAACTAATGAGATTTATCGAGATGATAAGCAGAGAATTTATATTCGAGGATGCTACACGAAACGGAGGAGCCCCCAACTACAAATATAGATGGCTTCAAACTCAAAGGAGGTTTAAATTCTTTTATATATTGAATTTGAGTATAGGAAAAGTCGTACTATAAAGGGGGGCACAATGCCTAAGCTAATCTGTGCTACCAAGTGCTCAAACAACCACATGCATCCTCAGATTCATAGCCAAGATAGTCTATACTTCACTATTATCTTTACTGTTTTGCGGGGTGCGAGCTCTGACTCGCCCGACCCCTTGGGTGCGATCTCTGACTCGCCTGACCCCTCAGGTGCGGGCTCCAGTTTGCCTGACCCCTTGGGTGCGGGCTCTGGTTCGCCCAACCCTTTGGTCATGGGCTCCGTCTCGCCCGACCCTTTGGTCGCGGGCTCTGTCTCGCCCGACCCCTAGGTCGCGGACTCCGTCTCGCCCGACCCCAAGGTGGCAGGCTCTGGTTCGCTCGACCCTTTAGTCGCGGGCTCCGTCTCGCCCGACCCCAAGGTCGTGGGCTCTGGCTCGTCCGACCCTTTGGTCGCGGGCTCCGGCTTGCCCGACCCTTTGGTGGCGGCCTCGTCTCGCCCGATCTCAAGGCCGCGGACCTCGTCTCGCTCGACCTCTTAGGTGAAATGTCCGTTGGGGGATGGGGGTATATACACCTTTTCTTTTTCTCCCCAATGGCTATTTGCGATTTGAGTGATCGTTGGGGCCTAGGGGTATACATACCTTTCCCTTTCTTTCCCAACGGGACAGAAAAATGAACCAACCTGCTCCCTTCTTCCCCACTTCAGCACACTCAAAACAGTGTAGGTGCTCTCTCTCTCTCACTTCATTGTTGACTTCAAGCTCCCAAACAAATTCATTAATTTTCCCATCAATCCTTGAGGGATAAGGGTCCAAAACTTGATAAGAGAGCATCTCCATTGATTTCAAAACTCTAAAGAGCACTTGGTTCATATCTTAGCCGGTGGTTGTATTTGTTACTCTTGGAGCTTGGCTTCTAGCCGGCTAGAGCATCGCCCGTGGAGCTTGCCAACTTTTGTGGGAACCCCGAGAGGTTTATAACCACCTCTTGCAATGAGTAAAATCACCCCTCATCTCAAGAGTTTACTTTCTTGACTTGAGAACGAGGTAGGGTTGCAAATCCCTAAGCCTCAGTGGTATACCTCAACAACGTGGACATATGCAAGCCTTGGTGGCGAGCTGAACCATGGGATAAATTCTTGTGTCATCTTGTGCTTGTGTTGCTTCACTTGTGTTCTTGTTGTTGTTGAGGCGATTTCTAGAATTGAGGCCGATCTACTTATGTGTGGTGTTCCCACCACTTTCAGTTGTTAATCTGTGATCTACCACCCTACAGGAAACTAAGAAATTTACCCTATCTAAATTTTGTTGGATAGATTTTGAACTGTGAACTAATCTCTCCTGTAGGTGCGACAGTGCCGCGCTCACAGAGCGGCAGTGCCACGGGTGAATTTGATTTCAGTTTAAGTTGATTTTTTACAGGCCTATTCACCCCCTATAGGCGTACCAGAGATCCTACAGATATGTAACTCGATTGCGTATTATTTCCATTCTATTGTTAGATTTAACTCGCCTTGCTAATTGTGACTTTTTCGAAACTAACATGGTTTAACATCATGAAAGGTCTTTCAAAAGTTTTTTCGATTTAACTCGCCTTGCTAATTGGGTTATGCTTAGTTAGTTGACCACTAATCTCCACTGTCATATATCTTTGCAAACTAACAAAGTTGTGCTATTAATGAAACCATTTCTTAGGTCTACTAGCTATAGGTGTCCACCTACGAACTCTAGGAAGCTAAGGGTGTGTTTGGTTGGATGCCGCAACTCGCCACGCCAAAAGCTCGGTGACTTTGGCCGCTGCTTGGTTGTCGTGTAACCATTGGCGGCCATAGTTGTCGTTTTGCTTCTGTTGCTTTGTCATTTTACTCTGTGGCGTGGCGTGGCATGTGCTGGCCATTTTTTATGCCACAACTGTGGCACCGCCGAACCTACTACGGCGTGGCGAGCCGTGGTAGGCAACCAAACAGGCTCTAACAACACATACATTTGTATATGTAGCCCTAGGAACACCCATGAGTAATATTTAGAATCAATAGGACAACTAGGGCACGTTTTAGTAGGGATCTAGATTATCTCATAAATGTTTCAAATTCAGATTTTTCGTAGAGATTTTTATTTGCGTAAACAAAATTTCTTAGCTATAATTGGTGACATTTGGCTTTTATCAATCCAAATCGCCTCCAAACATTATAAAACACCTATTTAGGTGATTCTCCTTTTAGTTCAAAACATAAAAACGTTTATGAGCATTTCACGAAGAACCACTTTACAAAAAAAATACCAACGCTTTGGCCGATTTTTTGCAACCAAATGGCGTCCCAATTGCTGTGCTATTGATTCTTGCAAGCACATGAAAAGTATATGTACGATTCATTCTACGTGCGACCCTAAAACACATTTCCTTATTTTGTTTCGAAAATAAAACACATTTCCTTATATTAGAGAAAAAAAAGACACATACAAATGGTGTTATTGTTTGCCGCTGTCAAATTTTTCCGATGTTGGTGTGCTTGGATTGTCGTTGAAGCGCAAGAGGCGGAGGCTTGTCGAGATAGCCATGTAACGTACCCTACAGGCATGCCCAAATCGAAGATGGCCGTTGCAACAAAACAAAATCAACAAAAACCAATTTCCTTTATTTATCAGGTTAATAATATCTATAAACTATAATAAAGACAGTTCTTTTTTTTGGGTGGGATGAGAGACTATCAACCTGTTCGCTCGATGGTTTGAGTCAGGGCTTATCAGCCAGCCAACCGTGTTTTTCTCTCACAACAAACCAGCACCAGCAGGGCTTATTAGCTCAGAAACCAATCAACGAACATGCCGTATAAAGATGTGCCAAAGAAAACTCACAAGAGAGATAATATTTATTTATTAATACCAAATAGGCAAAATACATTAGCAACACATAAATCGATGCCAAAGAATGAAATCAGGAATAAGGTTAACACTATTTATTACACACATACTAATGTACTATTTAGGTCTTATTCTTACAGGTGTAAATTAAATACAGTAAAAAAAATTCTTACAGATACATTAGTACGTAGTACTAGTATACCACTAGTAGTAGTATATACATGCATGTATACGGAGTAGGTATCTCCAAGCATGTCCACTAGTTTACCCCTGCACCAGCTGTCCACAATTACCACCGGTCAGCCTTTTTAAGTACGTACAAGAACCCGGGTAAAGCACACAGATGGAGAACCAAGACTGACCTGTGGCTACGGCCCCCGCTCGGGGAAACGAGTGGGCCCCGACAGTCAGCCATTTAGAGGGTCGCGCGCTTCCGTTCCATTCCGTTCCCATCTCGCCCGTCTCCCGTCGCGTCACCGTCACGCCCTCCGAGTCCAAATTTCTGGGTGTACGCACTAACAGTACTGGTCTCTCTCTCCTCTCCTCTCCTCTCCTCGCCTCGCCTCTCTCCTGTCTTCCTCTGCTCCTCCGCGGCGCTGCTGCTTCCTCGCCACGCCAGAGCTGAGCGAACCCCACCCAATCCAATCCCCCTCGTCTTGGTTTCCTTCTCCTCGCCGGACTCTGTCTCTCGCCCTTAGGATGGAAGAGGAGCCGAGGCTGCTCGCTGCCCGCGCCGGGGGTTAGGGCGGAGGCGCGGCCGATCGGCGGGGGCGGAGGGAGGGTAATGAGGGGGCAGCAGGAGCGTACTATGAGGGATCTATACGATCGCATGCGCCACAAAGATCTCCCAGTTCCAGAGGTGCGTAGTGCTGCATCCAGCACGGTGCTGTGGCGTACGCGTTGTTGTTGGGGGTGGTTGTTAGTTTCCCCAATAGGATGAGATGAGAAGATGTGATTGTTTTCGATTGTACTCGATGTGTTAGGAGTTCGTGGATTCGAAGTTTTGCAAACGGCGCATGGTTGCGCGTGATTATGATTCAGGTTTTCTTATTGCTCGTACCTTATTGCTCATGCTTTCAAAGGTGACACGATTTTACAAGGAGACGAATCGAATTTGATCGAATATGTACATCAGTTTTAGTTTGATTTAGGTTTCTCTTTTGAATATATCAAGTCCGCTGAATCGAATTTCAGTCTTCAATCGAAAAGATTTGATGTGTTTTTAATGTGATTTTACGGCCGATGCTGCAGTTTGGTTTGGTGATTGATGCGTATTGTTTCTGCTGTGTAGGAATCAGCGGAAGGGTGCGCGCGGACGGCGCATGGAGGGATCGAGCAACAAGAACTGGCCTCTAAGATGGAGGTGAGCATTGAGGCATGAGTATTTCCCTGCATATGCATGGGAATATTTTGGTCCTTGAATTTCATTAGATTAGAATACTTGTTGCTCTTTGGTCATCTGATGCTCAGAAGCGAGTTCCTTATAGATTCTTCCTCTTTGCCTGTGCCTGTATACTCAGACGCCTCCAGTTCAGTGGTGGTGGAGTGTGATTCCGATCCCATTATGCTGTAGAAAAAGAATATGTTACACGATTTCTGCATCTCCTGCTTTTTGTATGAGCTATTGTCACTTTGGAAATGGAAGCTGCTTTGATGGTCATTCATTATATGTTTATTTGTTACGAATATTATGACACATTGATGTTTTTCAAGTAAATCTAATACGTTTTAAATTGTTCACGAGACCATTCTTGTCGTCATGTGTAGATTTGGTGGAACAGTCTACCATTATCTAAATCTGAACTCATTATTGTTTATCTTGATATATCTTATGTAATATAGCTTATATAGTTTTAGGACAGCACGGCAATTAGAAGGAAGTACAGTAATGGTCAAACCCTAGAAACGCTTATGGTAACATTTGTGTTTTGTTGGTTTAAGTGTCGTTCTATTATCTATGCAGTTAAACCATCCTTTCTTCCTGTCGTATCCATATCTTGACTTCTTGAGTTCTTGACAGACATGTAATGTTTGCTAAGAGTGCTACTTGTGCGATTGTGCCTTTCAGCCTTCATGCTTATTTTTGTTGTGCATGAGTAATGATTTTAAGACTGATATATTGTTTTATATTTGTAGGACAAGACTGTGGTAAGGAAAAGAGTGGTATCAAGCAACAACACTTGTGTCAAGGCAGAGTCTGGCACCTGTAATGTCTGTTCTGCCCCTTGCTCCTCTTGTTTACACCCACGTATTCGAGTTGAGGATTCGAATGTTGAATGTGCATCCTCTCAAACATGCTCCACAAGGTCGGAAGTAAAAAACAATTCACTCGTTCGTAGTGAGAAAGGGTTCTGTAGTAAAGGAGAAAACGATGATGAGTTTAGTGCAACTTCGGGTCATGTTTCCTACTCTGTAACTGGTGGAAACAAAGTGGTTGCAAGATCATCCATTGCAGATGATTCATCAGAGGTTGACATGCCATCAAAACGAAGGAGGCTGTTAAATCAAGACACAAGACTATCTAGAGCAGAATACCTTGATGACAGCAACTCATGTGTTACTTCAGGAGAAGGCAAACTTCATGTGGATAAGAAAAACTATCAACTTCTGCATCCAGTCGAGATTTGACTGCTAAAGATTATAAAGCCATGGCTAACCACAGCAAACTAAGAAATCAATGTGTTGATGAATCAAAGAAAGGATCTGATGGTCGTGATATGCATCCTAGCTCATCTGGTAGATTTTCCCCTGTAGATTCTTCTGTTATGACAAAAAAGTTGCTGCGAACCCAGTCTTCTATCAGTGCATTGAGCAGATTATCTCCTAACAGGCAAGCTCATGAATTTGGGAAAGCACTGGATAATTTATCTCATCAACCTTGTGAGAAGACTTCTCTTTTGAAGAATAATGAACAACCACGAGGTGGGCAATTGAACCCTTGTATAGCTGGTGATAACAACCATGGCACGCTGGCAGGCTACAGTAATAGGCATGCGAACAAAGATGGTTTCTCATTGAAGGATCTAGACAATGGCACCTTATGCTCAAAACATGAAATCAAAGAACATGGTGACATCCATTCCAATGATGATGTTAAGAAGAATGTGGGTGGCAAACAAGATTCGGATCAAGATTGTTCAATGGATATATCCAGCGACAGAAAGTTGAATATACAACATGGTGTGATGACAGACTCTGGGAATTCGGAAGGTTTGATAGATGTAAGTAATTCCTTTATCCCTTCTTACTGGTTCCCCTTTGAACACAATGCTTTGCAACTGTTTTAGTAGTTGGTATTGAAACTAGCCTTAATTGACACTAGCTTGATGTCTGGATACAAAAAAAAAACGAATCTATTGTTTGTTAATGTCATTCTATGTAGTATTCGGTTAGAATGTGAAATTAACCTTCGTTTCATTGCCTCTTTATTGGCCATATGGCATTTGTGTAGAAGTTAGAATTATAGCAGTGCACTGCTCCTTTTTTTTGTGGAAGATAGCTTGCACTGGTTAAGTTCTATGCTGATGGTTTGAACTGGTCCTGTACCATTTTTTCTTCTTCTATAATGGTGCGCAGCTCTCCTGCGTATTTGAACAAAAACAGATTTATGCCAAAGTTTGAACTCAAATAGCGAAGGGCGGGCTTGGTGCAAGCGGTAGAGTCTTACCGCCTGTGACCGGAAGGTCCCGGGTTCGAGTCGCGGTCTCCTCGCATTGCATAGGCGAGGGTAAGGCTTGCCACTAACACCCTTCCCCAGACCCCGCACAGAGCGGGAGCTCTCTGCACTGGGTACGCCCTTTTTTTGAACTCAAATAGTCTTCTGCATGATATCTGCAATTCTGGAAGACCATCTAGCACTACCTGTTGGTGCTGATTTTTTGCATGGAATCTACCTATGTTAAACTTGAGAATAACAAATTTCCACTATCATGCTTTTAATTGCATGCTCTATTAAGTCATTACCAATACCAATAGGTATAAGAGTGTTTTCAAATCGTCTAATCAACCCTAGTCGCCATGGCACTGATCAACCTGACTAATCACGACTAATCATAAATAATTGTAGTGCATAACTGATCGCCATGGCACCTATAAGCCCGACTAGCGACTTGATAACCTTGGTAAGACCAATGCAAACAATTTGGTATATAGACTGTTCTTGTTTTAGATAACTGTGGGATTCTAACATCCTTCTTGGCACTCAAATATTGGAGTTTGCTGCACTTACTGTATTTTTATCCTGGAAATATGTGTACAATCATTTTTGTTAACCTTATTGCTGTTCAGCTGAGTGATAACCAGTTGATTACTCTCAGTTGCCAGTCACACATTAAGAAAATTGTATTGTGGCCTTTGACTGGTATAAACTAGTTCAATATATTTTTTGGGTGTATGTTTTTTAGATTATTTCTTTAGGATGAGGGAATTTTAATGAACTAATGTCTACTTCTCTCTGACCAGTTCAAAGTTCTTAGCATCAAACAGTGAGAGTTCTTTAAATCGACTTTATAATCTTGCAACTATCAAGCAAACCAATTGAACAATCTCCTTAATTGTTGCTGTTTCCTGTAGATATAATAAGTTAATAACACGACTCTATTTTGCATGGTTCTGCTGCATTTGGTGCAGTTATGTTCTTAAGGAGTTCTCCATGAAATGTGCTGCATGGCATTTTTGCTCATGTATGAAAAATACATGGAAAACTTCAACTGTGATGACTCCAAGTATATGATCAAGCATTTTCTTATTCTTTGTAATCAGGATGCTTGGTCATAATCATTATTTTCTTGTTTTCTTTAATCAAGGTCCATCCTACTCCTAACCCAAAAAAAACTTTATATGCAACTAGCTTGGTATCTGAAATATAAAAAAGGCGTACCGGTCTGAGAGAGCTCCCGCCTGTGCGGGTCAAGGGAAAGTGTCTCGTGGCAAGCCTTACCCTACTTTGTGCAATGCGAGAAGACCACGACTCGAACCGGGAGCTTCGGTCACTGAGCGATAAGACTCTACCGCTTGCACCAGGCCCGCCCTTGGTATCTGAATATACATGAGTTTTTTTTTTCTTTCTATCTTCCTTTATGGCACTTTTGTTGTCAATGTCTGTATCTTGTTTGCATATTTAAGCACTTTATTTTTACTATTCGTAATCATCATATTTTACGCGTACTTGTATGCTAGATTCGTTTTTAACATTTATGTCTGGTTTGCATCAATCCCAGGTTAATGTTTGTGATATATGTGGAGATGTTGGTAGGGAGTATCTTCTAGCTACATGCACCAGATGCCTTGAGGGAGCAGAGCATACGTAAGTTACATTCTGTGATAGTTTTTTTCCTAGTATTTGTCGGAAGTTGGAACTATCATAGGTTGTGTCCAGTATTTTGTTTGACTAAGAAGTCATTCATTTAGCAGTGGAAGTGATATTGACCACACCTACTGGCAAATTTTATAGTTCATACTTCCTCCGATCCAAAATATGAGTCCAGCTAGCTCTCTCGCAAGTGCACCAAATATAAGTTCATGATAATTCCAACACATTTTTGGTTCATTCTTCCATGTCTACCCCTACTTAAATGTACACTAATCAATGCAATACACTTGTCACTCAATTCTAACAATGATTAATGGACAATATCTTCATTGTACCCCTCACCTTAATTTTTGTGCCTGAGTCCAATACTCCAAATGGACTTCTATTTGGGATTGGAGGGAGTACAGACAAGGCACTCTAAATAATTTAATCTGGACTTTTACCTACACTAATAATCTGCTCAGGTAGTAACCTACCATTGTGGCAAACCATTGATCTTGTGCAGAAGTTAATTTCCTTCCGTGGTGGTGTTACATAATATTTTTAGGTCCATCAGGGTTTATGTGTCGAAGGAAACAAAAACATTGTTGGTTATTCAGATTTGTCTAGTACTTGTATCATAACTTTTTAGGTGCATTATTTGTAAGGTAAAATGCATATGCAACATCCATATTTCACATGGACATGTCAGTGTTAACTGTTAATTTATTTTTACTAGTTACTGCATGCGAGTGAAGTTGGAAAAAGTTCCAGTTGGTGAATGGTTTTGTGAAGAATGCCAGCTTAAGGAAGATCAGAAAAATACAAGAAGTAACTCTGGTACCGTGGCGGTTAATGTGACAGAAGGAAAGAACCAAAGGACAGAAAGTCAAAGCAAGCCTAAGGCATTGCAAATTGTTGTGCCTGATTTGGATTCTCCGCAAGTCACACACAGCGCACTGACAGCTGATCGGTGTGATGGTAAGAGTAAAAGGTTGCATTTAGCTTCAGCTGATACACAAACACGCCAAGTAAAGGATACCACCCCAGCTGCTGAAAGATTGGATGTGAAGAACAAAAAATCATTAAGCATTGCAAACCGTAACAAACTGCAAGTTCTTACATCTGATTTGGGCACACGACCACGCAGTCATGGAACGCCAACACCTGAAGTCTATAACAAGAGTCAAAGTTCAGAATTTCTGTTAAACCGCAAAAAGTTGCGAGTTTCTACTGATATGGAGTCGCCACTCTCAAGTGAAGGCCTACGGAGTCCACCGATATCATGTAAGAGACATTCAGAGAGTACGTCGTCCCCTAAACCTAGGCTCTTCAAGACAGGTAGCCTTGGAAAGCAAGATGTCATCTCTCGTGAGAACTCATTTAAGAAATCTAGCAAGGGAGGTTTAACTTCAGTTGATAATGTTCGGTGAGAACTACCCAGGTGGTCAAAAGTTCTCAGACCTTGTCACGGTCATATTCCTTGGGGAACATGGTGAATGCTAAAGCTCCAATTCCTTCACCAAGAGGTTTGGCTAAACTCTTTTGGTATTCTATTCACAAGTAATCTTTGTTTTATTTATTGTTACGTTTAGTCTGGATTCGTATGCTAACCTTCTAGCTTTTATTGGCAGGCCTTTTATCCAAGCAGCTATCCTTCAACAGCACCAACAACGGACCAAAGGTCAAGCAGTTGGTTGATGGGATGTCTAGCAAGTTAAGACCTGCAGAACATTCCCCAAGAGATCCTAGAGATAAGGAACCCATCAAAAAGATTGTACAATCAGGATCTTTCAAACGTGAGGGTTCAGATTCCATAGATGCTGGATCATCAAAACAAAAGCAAACATTTCATTTGTCTCAAGATGAAAAACCAGGAGTACTGAAGCCAATAAAAGAAAAGAATTTAACAGAAAGAAGGGCTTCCTTTAGTTTGAAAAACCAAACATTCCTTCATCTCCAAGGCCTGACAGCTGTATGAAGTCAGGGAAAGAAAAATTGATCAGGATATTTCAAGGTCTGGAACAAGCATACTTAAAAGTAGCAAAAGACCTGGTAAGCTCTTCATTTACTTAATTATTTCTCAAGAGGAAGAGAAATGGAAAATCTTAGTTGTCCCCCCTCCCATAACGTGCTTTCTTTATGGTTTGCTTGAATCAGGATATGCTGAAAAGAAGCAGAGCTATGATTTGTCCAGAAGTGACAATGGCAAGCAAGATGTTACCGTGCATCCAAAACCAATGGAAGTTTCTGGTAAAGATGCTTATGGAGTAAAGATATCTGATCCACGAGTTCAATCCCAGTGTGCCAAAAAGGATAGATCAAATGATGTTGAGGATGACGAGTTACTCATTTCAGTGAATAATGTTAACATAGCGCCAAATGAGCATGCCGAGGTGGTTCCCACAACATTTACTGCCATGACATGTGAATCAGATTTGCAAGATGTTCCAAGAGAAAGCACCTCTGATGATTCAGCTCCGAAAGTGGTATGTTGCGAACAAAAGCTTTTGGAAAACACAGGAGATGATTCCTGTAAAATTGTAGAGGTGGTTCAAGATTCAGGAGATATATTGTCTGTGACTCCACGTGGTCTTCAGATGGCACACAATCTATACCCCCCTGAAAATAAATTGGATAAACCGGATTTGGAGAAGGAAGCTTTTGCTGATCAATCTTCAGCTCTTGGGAATCCTTTAAAAGATTTTGTTATTCCAGAGCAGTCTTACATCTGGCAGTATGACCCTCCTCTTCTCCCTTTACTTCCATTTACTAGTTAAGAGTTTTAACAGTGAATTTCTTTTATTTCAGGGGTAGCTTTGAGGTTTCAGGAGATGGAAACTCCCCTGAAATGTTCGATGGGTTTCAAGCTTACTTGTCTACTTGTGCCTCGTCCAAAGTACGTGAAGTAGGTGAACAGTTACCTGACAAAATTCAGCTAGCAGAAGTTCCACGGCATTCCTCATGGCCGCTGCAATTTAATGAAGTAAATCCAACTGAAGATAATATTGCTCTTTTTTTCTTTGCTAAAGATGTTGAAAGGTATCACTTTTCTCACCATTTCACTGTTTCATGAGTATCAATCCTCTGTATACTAGCTGAGGTCTCCTGTCTCCTTGAACAGTTATGAAAGGGCATATGGTAAACTCTTGGATAACATGCTTCTTGGTGATTTGTCCCTCAAAGCAAATATTGGTGGCACTGAACTTCTCATTTTTCCATCTGATAAATTGCCAGAGAGGATTCAACGTGAGTTTTTCTTTGCTAATGTTGCTGTCTCTTGGCAGGATTGCTCATTGCCTCCTTTTAATGGATTCTTTATGATATTTTACAGGTTGGAATGGTTTACTTTTCTTTTGGGGCATTTTTATGCCGGAAAGAAAAGTAGTCCACTAGAGCTTCCTACAAATAATTGTCCATTAGAACAAATCAATGGACCTGTTATCCAGCTTGATATGGGTTCCCCTAAGGCACTTCAGCCTTTGGGTATAGATTTGAATGAGTGCCCTAATGATGATATATCTGATCCGGCTCTTTCACTTGGATCAGAGAGTGAGAAATCTGGTGCATCTGTAGATCATAATATTTTATTAGAGTCCAAAGACGAGGATAGAAATCTGAATGCAAGTGAAATACATCATGAAGAAACTGCAGGCACAAGACAAATTATACTGGGGCATCCTTCTGCAGCTCCCTATGGAACTAATCTTCCCACAATCTCAACAGGAGAAGGTCATGACATGGTTCGGGATTATCCAGCTGCTGCAAAAGGTGGTGGCATCTTTTCATGGGATAAAGCTACAGATCAATTCTGGATTTATCCTTGCTTGTTGTTTAATCCTTATATTATTCATTTCAGGTAGCACAGGAACAGCAGGTGGAAACAAAATGGAGAAAGCAGATCAGAATGAATCTCTCTTCTGTTTTTCACAGCAACCAGGTGCAATTAGATCAATCTCACATGAGATAAAATTTAAGAAACATGGTCTTCTGCCCTCGCATTGTCATTTTAGTGGATCAAAGATATGTGATAATCAAACCAAATCAACTCCAAGTTCAGATATGGGTTCTTTGGATTCTGACCTCACCAACAAAAGGCAGAAGACTTCTTATGGCAAACACTATACTTGCATTTTTGGAGATGAAATGCCACCTATTAAATGCTTGTCCAAGATACATCCCTTACCGGCTGGACAGGATAATCCATTCGATGTTTTACAGCATTGTCACAGGGGTCCTTCAGATCCTGTCTCTCTTAAAAAACCTGTACCTGATCATATCATCCATGTTCTTTCATCTGACGATGAAGATTCCCCAGAACCTAGTACTAGCTTAAATAAGGCATCACTGAAGGCAGATGAGGGCTCCACTTTATTGTCACTTTCCCTATCCATGGTGGCAACGAAGCGTAATCTTTCTGGTTCAGATATTGTAGATGATGAGCCACTGTCTCTATCCCTTGGGCTCCCCAGAATTGTCGATGGGAGTGCGGATCAGGAGATGAAGCAATTTCTGCCGGAGAAGCCAGGCATAAACACTTAATGCCCCTTTAGGTTTGCGAGTGTACAGTTTTGTGCTATGTTTAGCTGTATGGAGTTTATAGACAGGGTAGAAGTATGGTATAGCTGTTAAATTATGAATATTTTCCCTCTTTTCTCTAAGTGTTATATGCATCTGCTGTTGTTGTTAGTGATACTGGTCTGATGATGTTATCGTCTGTTGTATTTATGTGATATATGGTGTTAGTTTCTCGAGACACTATTGGTATGACATAAAAGGATAGATCAAAATGTTAAGGTTTATGAATTCAATTTGCCATTGCTTAACTCACATTTTCTACCTCGAGGCAATTCTTAGGTGCATCCCAATTTTCATGTGTCGTCTGTCATGATGACAAGTGTAGTTATGTGTAAGTCGCCTTTGCCAATTATTACAATATGACAGCTTTTATTATTTTGTGTATTCTGCATTTTGTTTTGCCATGTGGGAAGTATCAATTACTAACTTTCCATCAGGGCTGAAGATTATGTTCACGCTACTGTATGGTACGTATTTTTCACCTCTTATGGAATGTTTGTTTGAGGCTGGTAATTTATTAACCTTATTCACTGTTTCTATATTTGGAAGTTATTAACAGAGGAACAGAGCATTTGGATAAGGTACTGAAGGATCTCATCTTTCAAGTGTTTTTTTTTCTTCTAATGTGCAAGTAGGACCTGTGCGATAGATAAATTTCTCCATATTCTAGTTCAGAACTATAGGCTGTATATTGGACCTGTGAGAACCATTTTAATGTATAGGACGACGAAGTGGTTTTGACAGGCCCTAAACACGTTGTTAGTGGTGGAGAACTAGAACATGGACAAATTTTGACAGGTCCTAGTTGCGCATATTGCTGTTTGTTTTTTGGTCTAAGAGCCCAAGTTATGTTCATAACTTAACTAATGCAACAAGGTAGCTTGCACTCCATGCAATCCTTAAATTGAAAGCTTATGCTTTCTTCCAGCTTAACTAATGCTTCATATGCGTACTTTTATGTTGATGGTTCTTATCCATTATCAAATTGCTCCGCAAGTCTGCATCTCTCCGGTCAGTTGCTCGCATTCGTAATTTGCAGCTTTTGTCTCTTCCAGCTTCATCATTTTAATCTCTTAAAAATTTACTAATTTCACCTCCACTCCTACGTGTCCCCCCAAAAACGCTAAAATTCTTCCTCCCAGCACAATATTGGTATTAATTGAGGTTCCAGTCATTTGGTTCAATTTTTGTATCGATCGCTCAATCAAATTTGAACATGATGCACCAGAAGCTATTCCTCCAGATATCAATTTATCTTGAATTATGTGGCAACTTCATAGCAAACCTGTGGTGCTCCCTATCCTTGTGCTGTTTTAATCCAATTATGTTCAGTATAGTTCCTACAAGAAGTTCAATATTCTAAGGGGCCGTTTGGATCCCTTTATTTTGGAGGAATTAAAATCTACTTAATGGATTAGGCTATTTGGCTTGAAATTTAACATTCCATAACTTTCCTAAGTTCATAAATAAGTTTATCCTAAATTTATAGGGTGGGAGATGGAAATGGATTCTATAAATCACTATGTTATAATTCTACTCTCCAACTTATAGCACACTCTTTAACTCACTTTCTTACAATAGAAATACAACATATAAGTATGTCCTTCGTATGCCTAACAATAAATATACAAATATATTTCATATACAACTATATTAGTTTAATTAATCTATGTCTAAATTATAATTATTAGAATGAATTCAATTTCAAGGATCCAATCAGGCCCTAAGAGATTTTTTTTGGAGGCCATCATTTCGATACATTGCAATATGGTTGTGCTCTAATAAAATCATACTGCTTTATCAATGCTCATAAAGTATTCTGGCATAAGGCTGTAGTACCTTGCAAAGTATACTTATAGCATCTCTAACAGTACCCAATAATTTGTTCTCAAAACTTTGGTGTTTTCTAACTCCTAAAAAACTATTAGGAGAAATAAATAAGACCATCTCTAAGAGTTTTCAATAATTAACTCCTAAAAACATATTCCAATAGCATATTCCAATCATTCAATGGTATTTTCGTAAATACAACCATTTTCTTCCTAAGAAGAGGTCGAGCTCTAGCGACGGTGGAAGCGGCATGGCCCGTCGCCGCTGAAGGACTCGACGGTGCTGCTGGTGCTGCTCTGGAGCTCGCCCACGCAGCCCTCGCCGGCCAGCAACAGCCGTGAAGAGTGTTGGCGGCGAGCTCGGGGCGCCATGACGAGGAGTTGCCCTGGATGAAGGTGCCCGTGTTTTGGTTGGCGTCGCCATGGCCCCGCGCTGTGACCGTGTTGGCGGTGTTGCACTGCCCCAGAATGGGCAGCCGGGAGTAGAAGGTGCAGCCCTAGAACTAGAACACGACGGCGGCGTTGCTGAAGTCCACGGTGCCGTACACATCATGTTCATCGCGACGGGAAAAAATCGCGGGAGCCTTCCTCGCGACGGGGAGGGAAACGCGCGACGGGAGGATACACGCGACCGAAGGAGCGCGGATCTTCAGGCGCGCTTGGGTAAGCGCTAAATACTGGAAGGTGAGATTGGAAATTGTTGGAGATGGTTTTTTTTTCTATAGCTAAAAATTTTAGATCGAGAGACTTTATTAGGAACTTTTGATATGCTCTTAGGAATCTGACACTTCACAGGGCAGTGTTTTCGGCTCAGCCCATACCCAGCCGAAGTTAAAGCATGCTCAAATAACCGTGGTTTTCTTTCCCTTCCCCTTTCCGGGCCTGTTTGGAACATAGTTTTTTCATAGGAATTTCGGAGGTTTTTGTTTCTTTTAGAAAGAAAGCCTGTGACTGCGTTTGGAACATAGGATTCATAGTTTCCGTTCCGGAGGAAAGGCTTGCAGCTATGTGTGTTTCACGGGAAATAAAACATCCACCGTGACTCAAGGGAAAGCATCTCTCTCGTTCTTTTCTCATTGCATGGGAAAACGTAAATGTTCAAAATTTTTCTGCAATCCAAACAACAAACTTCAAGTATTCCTCTGTTTTAGATTCCAGCAGTTTTTCGCTTTATACTACATCACATTCCTGTATTTTTTTTCTATTTCTCTGTTTTCCATTCCTTCAAGTATTTCTTTGTTTTACCTGCAGTTTTTTGCTTTACACTACATCATATTCCTGTATTTTTTTTCTATTCCTCTGTTTTCCATTCCTGCATTCCAAACGGACCCTCCCTTTCTCCCTTTCCATTTTACACATTGCACCGATTCAAATTACTTGAATCAGGCCAGCTTTCCTTTTTCGTCAGATTAGGTCGGTATTCTACATATACACGAGCTACACTGTTTAGAATGGAGCTTTTAAGTTTTAACATCATAGGATCATACTGTTCTACATGTAGAGACCAACTTGTGGTAGATTTCATTGGTTTGGATTACTTACATCAGCCTAGGCAATGAAATGATATCCTTCCTGCACATACACACTCATATGCGGTACCTTTTTTGTGGCTAATGTTATTTTTTACAGCCATTCTTGATTAATCAAACAAATATGCACGTTATCTTAGAATTCGTAATTGATTGGTTTTTATCATTTCAATCCTGCAATCTTGTATTCTTGTCACAACGGTTTTGAGTCAGGGCCTGGACAATGTGCCATTGCGCTTGGCTCAAGACTAATCTGTTTTAATTAGTCTTTGTTTTTAATGGTGATGTCAGGTAAAAAAAAGGTGGTAGCAAATTCGTCTGCTCACTGCTCAGTGAAACAGTTTCCACAGCAAGGTCACCTAGCAATTGTTGCCAGAGAAATATTTGTTGGTACTGATCCTGTTCCTATTTCGCCGCGTTGTTGTGCTAGAGAATGATTTTTTTAGAGAACAGGTTCCCTCGCTTTATTACGCATATTTTTTTAGAGAACAGGTTTTCCCCGCTTTATTACGCATAATTCGTCGCGACGGGAGGCAGGCCATGCGCCGCCGCCGCCGCCGGCCACACCCCGCCACCGCCCTGGCCATGGCCCACTTCGCTCCGCCCTAGTGCGACCGCAACAGCGGAGGTCCACCTCATCTTTGTCCTCATCGTCGAGAAAAGGCTGGGGCCCTCCAGGTTCAAGGAGATGTTGCGGGGTGCCGTGGGATGAGCGTGGCCGCCCTCATTGTGCCCAAAGAGCCGCCGTGCTGCTAGGGGATCGGCCAGGGCTGGCGCTGCTAGGGGATCAGATCGAAGCTTCGCCATGGTCGTGCCCAAGGGTAGAAGAGGCCATTCTCACCAAAACCTTAGTTTTGTGGATTTTGAGCTTTTGTGTAGCCAAACAGTTCCCTATAGATCCACGGTGGGTCTCAGATCCACTAGTGGAGCTGTTTCATGATGAGTCCCAGATCTAGATTTACTTTTTTAGTGATGAAGCTTTGCCAAACAGGCCTCTAGTTTAGAAAAAAATTGGACAAAAACGGCTTTTGTGGCAATTTTGTTATAGTTTGTGCTATGTTTGTGAGGAGGATCCGAGAAAAGTCACATTTTTCACGAGTCGACTTCTCAATTGAAAAACGGCTTTGGCTCCTCCGAACTTCCTTAGTGGAGCCGTTTTTAGATGACCATTTGGCAAGGCTCGCTCAAAAAAAAAAACAAACTCTTATTTGTAACACCCTAAAATTTAAATTTCTGAAATAGTTTTAATTTGATCTAATCTTGCAATTTTGTGTGCATTAAATATAGGGGAAACAATTCTTTTAGAATAAAATCAAATATAAGGAATTAGAAACATGGTTGTGCATTCACGCTGTTGCATATAATTTTGTGATGCCTATGTTTGTTTTGAAAATCAAAAGTTTGCTTTGAATTTAATTTAATTTAAAACCTCTGTGGGGATCTCCCCACAGCCTTTTATAAATCAAAAAAAAAACTTTGCTTTGAATTGGTTTGTGTTGTCCTTGAATAAAAAGGAAAAACCTCTTCTTTTAAACCCTCTTCCTCTCTTTCTCCTTCTGGCCCGACCTGAGAAGCAGCCCAGCTGGCCCTTCTGTCTCCCAGAAGC